GGAGTCCCTTGAATCATTTTATTCTCCTGCATCCCGCACACACACACAAGTCTGCACTCACCTATCGAGTCTTGTCCCGCGCCGCACTCTGTTGCGTCGGGTCTCGCGGGAGAGCAGGGGCCGGGTTCACGAAAATCTTCTTAAGAAATAAGTTGAGAAATTTCTTAAGATAAATTCCACGAAGTTCGTAAGAATGTTCTTAAGTGCAATTCTTGAAAAATTCTTAAGTTCTCAAATATATTCTTAAGAACATCTTAATTTTTTTCTTAAGAAGAAAATGACAGTCTTTATCGGAGTGAATACATGACGCACTGATAAACTCACACTTTGTCTTTTTGCGCTTCCTGCAGATTACCCTAGTAATCATAATAAACACTATTTTCGTCGCGACTTTGACTGGCGCTCAACTTCATGTTTTTAATGCGGCGTGTTTTTGAACAATTACTTTTAAAATAGCTTGTCTCAAGCTGCAGCGATCTGCTTCATTCATTTTTGTGCTGTGTTTTGCGCTCTCATCCGAGTGAACGCTTCCGGTATGTGTGTCTGCGCTGCTACAGCAAACGCGTCCTGTGTATTGGCGTGTTCATATGCGCTGAATACTGCCAAAGATTGTCGTCTTTATAGGCTAAAATTAAAAATTAAAACACCCTATCCGACTCGTTTTTGTAGAGTTGCTACTGAGTTTTTTTTAAGTCAGCAAAAAGTAGCGTCACACATAGGCTAATCATGACCGATCATTGTTTACATTATCAGTCATCGCTGTCACTTCAGAAAACTCGTGCACATCCCTATTAAGAGTCTTACATTGTAGCCTATTATGTAGCTAGTGTTGTTGTAATGCTTAAATATAACAATTATTTTGAAATAACCCAATAAATTCATTAAATAATTTTTACTGTTTGGGATTTAAGACAAGTAAAATTAATTAGTTATTTACGATGTTTTTTAAGAAGATTCTTTTCAAGAATTTGAATTCTTCTTAAGTTTTGTCTTAAGAACAATCT